CTTGCAATGTATTGGTGAATAAACAACCTTTAGTCCACACTGGTGGAACGGTGAAATTATGATCTGTTTGCTTCTCTCTGCTTTTCCTCTCTCTCGCACACATCGGCTTTTATACGCTACTTGCCTGAGCTGACGAGAGGAATCGCAGCAGCAGAGGGGTTCACTCGCTCCAACTCTTCCCTCGCCATGCTGCCCTGGAGAAGGAATAAGTTTGTTCTGGTGGAGGACGAGGTGCAAATCTTTGGTCCAGACTACATTCATGTTCCCCAGAGAATGAATCCCTCTGATTTTGGTGTTCAAAAGTCACACTGGCAATATCTTACTTCTCCGCTTTCATTACAGCAAAAACTTAATTTGTTCAGTGATTATATAATCAATACGCTGCACAGCTCAACATCAGCTGTACTTTGTTTATTGACAAGTGTTAGCATGCTAACATGTCACGAATGCCCCACAGCACTGGGCAGTAAAATCTTGGTAATGGTTATCAATAAAAAGTAACTGCGAGTTCTGCAACAAGATTAGACATGTTTTACATTTAATAAGCAGAGATTGACACAAAAGCAATCAGGTTTTCTGCTCCAGACAATTAGTTTGCAGATTAAAATTGAATGTATAAACACGTATCGTGGGCTGAATTCAGGACTAGAAAAGGACTCCTTTACTGATTGGCTTTGTTTTTGACTCATTTGGCTTGCCTAACTTTGGTTGGGCTCAACTTTGGAGATAGGAGAACTTGCTAGAAGGATTACATATCTCAGCTGGCCCGGGAACACCTTGGGATCCCCCAAGACGAGCTGGAAAGTAAGCTGGAATGACCTGCTGCCAACATGTCCCAAAGAAGAAGAAAATGGATGGACTTTAAGTTTTATTGGGAACCTTCCAACATTATCAAATTATATTTTAGTATTTCTTGCTGTTTTTTTGCATTGATGTTGTGTTGTCTGCACCAAATTTGGACTAAAATTTAAAGAAGTGCATGCAATTAGTAATGTAGTTGTTATTGGTTTGCACCTAAAGCTCTTTAACAGACATGTAGCAATTACATTAAAGAGAGATTTTTAAAAAATGCTTTGCACTCGCTGGCCAATAACCAAAGTCCTTTTATGGCTTTAAACCATAGTTATGGCAACACAGTTTCACATGAGAGAGTAAAACATCGCTCAGGACATAAAGTAAATGGACACGTAACATCCTAATTTCACTGATGTTCCCGTGTGTACGGGATGATAACTGAGATAAGTCAATACTGAATACATGCATCTACTTCTGTAAAGGCCAAACCATGATGGATCTTTACAATTTAGCATATCAGGGTCTTCGTTAATCTTCTGTGGATAGCAATGAGCTGTTTCACATTAAAGAGGTGATTTATGAGACTGCAACTGTTTGCATGAGGTCTCTCAATCACACTGTCTTTGGTGACTCACATAGATGGCATCTCATCCCGATCGAGGTTTTTACTCACTAAACAGTCAACTGGACTGAGAACAAACGTCTGTTAATCATTTCTCCACGGCCGTGTCTTCTTTTCAGTGACTGCGCTGATTATTCCAAAACCATTAACTCGGTGTATTCATTTCCAAAACAGTCCGAAGTTTGGCCATGTGCCCCTGGCTGTGTATGTGCACCCAACAAAGGCCTTCTTTTTAGTGAGCATCCTGAGCCACTGGAAGTAACTGGAATTTTAAACAGAGCTGTGAAAAAATTACAAATATTTCTGCCCACAATTTTGCTCTCTTACATAGAATAATAATAATAATAGGCATCTGTGTGTGAGATAGCGCCTCTAAAGCAGTTCAATTTATTTTCTATTCATGGGTTTCTTTAATTCACAGCACACAGCAGGGGTAGAGCGAGGGACATTTACTTTCCAGTGTTGCCACAGTAACTATTCTCTCAGCAGAGAACTTCATCCACCACGTACACATCACAGCTCAGTCCGTGCTGCTCGGCACAACTCGGTGGCAGACACATACAGTATGATGCTTATTTAGATTTACTGCAGCAGCCAGTAAACACTAAACAGATGTTTGGACACATAGTGGAAATGTAGGACAGATGTTCAGGTATATACTCATGTAGAATATATAGAGTTGTAACACAGAATTTATAATTATATACTGCTAATTTGAGGAAACAGGTGCATTTTAGAAAAACATAATGAGCATCATGATTATCATTACCACTAATGGTGTGTGTTTAACCACTTAGGGTCTGTTAGTAATGGTCAAGCTATATCAGCTGACCCGTTAGCAAGCATTAAAAAGCACTAAACAGAACATTTAGCTTGATGAGAGATTTAACTGTATTTATTTTCATTTTATATGAATAATTATTATTCCTAAGTTATTAACTAATGTATTTCCTCTTATGATCAATCAAAACCAAATATGTTAGAAAGATTATATTCAAAATTAAAGCCCCAAAGTGCATAAGTAAAGCTATCCGTGATCACAGACACACAAGTTAGAAAACCTGTGACCTGTGAACACCAGAACTTTCTCAGTTTTTGACCAATGGAGTGTGTCTATCTGCATGTCTGCATTATAGGTCCATAACAGTTGCTGGTAAACTCAAAATTCTCATCATGAGATGACATGAATACGATGAACAGTGTGACACTTGCACAATCTAGTTGTGAAAAACAGATGGGCAAGTGCTTCAGACGTCGCACAAGGGTTATCAGTGGAAATCAGAGTTTCTCTGACAGCTCAGACAGAGTGAAGGAATAAATTCAGCCTCTCCGGACAGCGTCTAAGAAAAATAACGTTTCTTGCTGTTCAGCACAAAACTGCACCATGTAACTTTCCCAAAGAAGCCAAAGAAATATTAGGAGCACATTCTTTGGTTTGATGAGACCAAGATAAATGCATTTGGGGTGGTGCCAGGACTACCACATTGAATGCATAGCCTCAAAAGTGAAGAACCTTCAACACCAAAAGGTGTCAAGACATTACATTTATAGATGGCATCATAAATGCCTGTGGATATACCAAAATACTGGCTGACAAGATGACTGCAGTCTGCAGAATCCAGGCAGAAGAGGAATATTCCAGCATGAAAACAATCCAAAGCACAGTGCCAAAATCACACAAGAATATCCAAGAAATCATGGAAAACTATGATCTGGTGAAGTGTGTCACCTGACTTGAATCCGACTTTGGGGTAATAAAAAGAGAAAGGTAGAACAACACAACCCCTCCAGCAAACAGCAGCTAAAAAAAAATATAGTCTCTGAAGAATTACATCTTTGAACGTCTCTCCAGAAATATGTGCACCTCTGCACACACTCAGGAGGACTTATTATGTCATCAGAAACAAAGGTGACTATAGGAAGTATTGTAAAAATAAAAGAATAAAAATTTTATAGACTTTTGTTGCCTTGGCTTTCTTCTGTTAGGCCTGTATTTTTTTATTATAATAAATCTAAACTGGTATTTTTTAATTTGACATTACTGTAAATATCCCATTGTTTAACTTGGAATTAATGCAGCTGCATCAAGGTGATACAATTTTGAAACACTTAGCATATAAGGAGTGTAGTCACTTCTGCTTTACACTTTATTTCACAAAGCTGAAAAGACTTTGTCTGTTTGTGGCACTATAGGTAAAGACAAAAACAGAAAACAGACTTCATCCTCTGGTGACTTTGGATGTCTGTACCAACCAAACTGCTCAGTCATTGCTGAGAAATTTCCGGCACACTGACGTCATCATCCCTTGAATCACTTTGCTAACATGGCTGTAGAGTCAACAGTGACTAATAGATTGAGACAGGTAATGAGGTAATGTTACCTTATCAACATTTATTTTAGTTTATTGGTGAAGAATTTCCTTTGGGATTTATAAAGTTCTATTTATTCCAATTAAAGCTACGATCTGTAGCTGACTTTAAAAAAATATGTTTTTGTTGCTCAAACCTGACCCCACTGGGAACATCTAGACTAGACAGCGGATATAACTGAGGCAGCAGTTACATTTCTTTTAAAATGTAATTGGAGACAAATTAGTATGCAAACGTTATTTCAAGGAGACAGAATTGACAATTTATTTCCTTACTTCTCTAAATTACTTAAACGGAAAATGGCCTCAGGCATAGCAGATAGCATTATCACTTACAAATATACTGTGCTTCCATATCAACTGGTTTTAATTTGAGAAACTTGCTCTTGCTTCAAAAATTTTCTGTAATTATTTAGTTACATCACATCTTTTTTCAGGCGGATAATGAAGAGTTTGCACTGTAGTTTCAAAATTCCGCCTTTTGTGTGTTTCTCCAGTAGTGGTGCCTCTAAAATGCTGGTGTACACAAAGCTTTCACAACATTATTTAGATTTTTTTTTTCCTGTGACAAAGGACTGTTTAATTGATTGGAAAATAATAAAAGCTTGTGGTTTTGTGTTTTGATATCAAGAGGAGGGGTTAAGATTGCATACTGAAAATTGTTTGTTAGGGTAACTACTGTCCTCAAGCTAACAACATGACAACAAGATAATTATGCTTCCACTACTTGAACCAATAAATCACACAAAACAAGTGACTCTTCCTCTTGAATTAAAAAGTTGTCACACCAGAGAGCAAATGACTCAGTAGTGTTTTTCTCAAATGTACAGGTACCGTGAATACAGTGGTACCTCAGTGCAAAGCTGGAAGGATAAATAATGCTTTGGTAGGGAGCCATTTGGAAGCAAAACAACGGAGCAGGGAGGGGGTTGAGGGTGCCCGAGTGCCGGGCGAAGGCTCCAGCACTGATCAGCGCTGCATGATGCAGACAACAGAGGAGAAAGAGGAGGAGGAGGAGGAGAGGAAGGAGGAGCGAGCAGGGAACAGACTGGCTGAGGCTCGCAGCTCTCAGTCTCTCCTCTGTGCTTCACCAAGCAGCTTCTCTCTGCTTTTCCTCTCTCTCGCACACATCGGCTTTTATACGCTACTTGCCTGAGCCGACGAGAGGAATCGCAGCAGCAGAGGGGTTCACTCGCTCCAACTCTTCCCTCGCCATGCTGCCCTGGAGAAGGAATAAGTTTGTTCTGGTGGAGGACGAGGCCAAGAGTAAGCCCAAGAGCCTGGGGACGGGGCTGACCTACCATTCCATCCTCTCCTCCCTACTCCGATCCTGTCCTGACTTGCTACCCGACTGCCCCTTCGACTGGGTGGGCAGCATCTTCCATACCAAACGGCAAAAGGTGCAACTGAATAAAGAGGAGCCTGTTTACAACGTGCGCTACCTGGGGAGTGTGGTCACCATCACGGCAAAGGGAGACGGCTGCACTCAGGAGGCAGTGGCCAAGATCTGGGCGAGGAGCAACTATGGGGAGCAGAGTGTCAAGATGAGGTTAACAGTTGGATCTCAAGGCATCCGGATGAGTGCCGACAAATCTGGGAAGAAGAAACCCATACATCTTTACTCTTTGAACAGAATCACCTTCTGCGCTGCTGACCCGTGCCGGCCCAAGATCCTGGCTTGGATCTACAGGCACCAGGTCAAGAACATGGCAGTGGTGCTTCGGTGTCACGCCGTCCTGGTGAGCAAGTCGGAAAAGGCCCAGGCCATCGCCCACAGCCTCTACCAGAATGCCACCTCCGCCTTCAGCGAGTTCAAACGCCTGAAGCGTCAGAGCGATTTCCGGCACTGCCAGCAGCAGTTGCTGGGCGAGGAAGCGGTGCCACTGATGCCACTGAGGAGGCTGCTGAACGGACAGTGCCACTACCGACCACCCTCCGACAACCCCGGGAGCACCACCCGCCTCTGCTCCATCACGGAGGAAGAAGAGGAGGACGAGGAGGAGGAGGAGGATGATGACAGGGAGAACAGAGATGGGAAGGAAGAAGCAGAGGAGGACGTTGGGGAGCAGCATGAGAAACAGAAGGTCTTAACAACAAACACAGACCCAACTCAGTTATTATCAGAGTTGGCCATCGGGGATATTGCCCAACTGGAGCAGTGCCAAATCAACTTTGTCAGTGACAGCAACAACAACACGTTTACGTTCATAACCTCTCTGGTGTGACTGTAACGCAGTTTAGAAGAATGTGATTCTGCAACACTACAATAACACATTCCTCTCTTCGCCCTCCACTGGAACCCCACTCAGGCTCCCTCCTGCCCGTCCATGTAATGTGAAGTGTTTACCAGAAACTTCTCCGACTTACCGGGTGGTAGAGAAAAGGCAGACGATCCTTCTGTGGGAGTAATTTCTATTCTGGCCAGATGGCTCAGTTGCTGGTGTGACTGTTGCAGTTTGGGAAACTGCGTGTTTACAAAAGAGGGCTGGTGATGCACAGACTAACGACAGCACAATGACGAACGGGGGACGACGCTTTTAGAAAAACACCAGAGCACCGACGCTGAGATCACTGACATGCGGGTCACCTATTGATCACAGCATCAAGCAGGATGTGTTTAGTAGTCCTCTATCTCTTATTTTTGTGAGTATGATTAAAGCCGTGTTTGCCAGCAGGGATGTTTTTTTGGATTGACTTGTAATATTTTTCAGGGAGGCTCTTTGTAAATTTGTGTAATTTTTTCTAATACGACAATCGTCACTGAAATTGCTCACAGACTGACCTTTCCGGGCGCTCTCAATCGTGAGAAGTTTATTACGGTTTTCCTAATGATCACAGCCGACTAATGAATAAGGCTATAATTTAGGAGGCAAGCCATCAAGTCGACGTATTTATTGCTGCCATTTGTTACAGTCCTTATCATTTATGCATGACAAGTCAGCAGTAACCTTTCCGTGCTGAGCTTTTGTCTTTTTCATGTCACATCTTTGATCCTTCGGCTTTTAAAATGAACACTGTGATAAATGTGTGACCAGGGACGAATGCACAACTCATCATGCAGCATTGTCTAATTTATGTAATGCATTTCGTTTTATATCGATTGCAATGTCACCTGGTTTGCCAAAAATGTAAAAAGAAAAAAAGAAAAGAAGGAAAGAAAGAAAGAGAGAAAAAGAGCAGTTTGCCATTGCTGTGCCCTTTTTAGCAAAGTTTTGCTAGTGCAGTTTTTCCATGAGCCCTTGCAAAAATGCAAATGGACCCTCACAATTTCACACAAAACTGTTTTGAAAATGACTTTAGCTAATTTCCCGTTGATAATATCTGTGCTACTGTCTAAAGATGCATTGTGATTACTATGAGATGAAGCTATTTATTTTCCAGATATGATGAATAAAAATTACCCTCACTTGGGTTTCCTTCTTGAATCTCAGAGGAAGGGTATTTCTAGATGTTATCAAAGAGATTATTCAAATGATTCCAACAACTCTGCATTCCACTGGCACACATTTGCATGCTTGTGATGTGAAAATACATCTAACCTGCACTTCAAAGACAAAATGACAACATATTTACGGCAGCATAATCTGATTCCTCAGCTATAAAACTGTATAAAAAGATGGCTTTTGCCACAAGAAATGACACAACTTAAAGCTGCCAGTCAGTTTCATTAGATGTTAATGTGGTTTGATAAATTTCTGGAAGCCTTGTACTGGCTTTCCACTGCCTTAGTCTGAGAAGAGCAATTAATCAGCGGATTGAATTGTTCAGAAAATTAACATAAAGCACCCTCGCGCTGCAGGACGACTGACAGGCTCTGACAGTACCGAGTGATCCAAAACGAGGACCAGGAAGTTGACTCACCCATCAACCATTTTACTGCTAACATCAGCCATTTTAGTTATGACAGAATCTTTAAGCTGATTTACTGGAATCACAATGAAACATTTATAACTGAGGCGTGCTGTGGTGTTTTGCAATAGGGCAGTGCATAACCACCAGCATGACCAACAGTGAATTAATATTTTTTATTTAACACTATATCATCCGAATGTAACACTGCAATGCCATGAATATAGCCAATTACTGCCGTGAAATTATTCACGTCCAAACTGCTCATAAATTCACTTTAAATTGTCTCACATAACCACATCAAAAGCTGTTAGAGTTGATATTCCTCATTAGGAATTCTCCTTTTGAAGACGAATAGGTTCTGCTGTGTTGATGTATGAGAGAGCAAAACCATTTAGACTTGGTTTGAATTGCTGAGACGGATTGTTCTGAAGGGATACTTTCAGCCGGAACCTTTGAGATCAATATTTTTCTTTTCTTGTAATAAACTACCCCTGGAAGAGAGCAGGACGTCAGAAGATAGATAATAAAGGATTCCTATGCCCTTGCAACGTATCCGTTTGTGGAGAGGATAACTGCAGAATCCTAATACTTGCTTTACTGTATTAACCTTCAGTGTGAGGAAAATGTCCTGTTCTGCATAGATAAACAGTCACATACGCACGTGAAAAATTGCGATTAAGTCACTCTGTTTGCTCAGTGACACTAGTGGCAGAAACACATTGTGTGTGATATGCAGCCAGCACCGTGCTAACATGGAGTGGTTCACAGAGGAGCCACTGTGCTTTTATGTAAACATAACTCTTGTCAGGCAAACAGAAGAGAGGGAGCAGATGGCAGCAGCAAGGTGCACGCTGGGCTTTATCACACCCATCTTCCAGAATAACAAGGGCTCAAGCCCACATCGGGGAGCTTTTTATGTTTTGTCACATCATCAGCCGCAGGAGATGCTCTTAAAAAACACGTAATCTAATCAAACACGGCAGACGCCGGCCCTTCAAGTGTCACACACAATCGCGCTGTGCCATTTTACTGTAGGGCGTCTGTGGAAATGCACAAAGCTGCTTGTGCGTGCACACATCTGTTCAGAGGAGTTCTCATCCTGCATGTCTGTGAAGCAAACACGAGGAGATGAGTGACAGCACAACAGGCCAGATCGTTTCCATCATGAGAAAACCAACGGAGGAACAAAATGTTGTGTCTCAAACAGCTGGCAGTGTGTAGCAGTCCATTCTGTTCCAGAGAGACTTGTACAAATAAAGCAGCTTTTGTAAGAGGCCAAGGAAGAACAGTTCATGCAGGCCAAGGAAGGACACTGTGAAACAATGAGACTGCTCAGTACAGAGACACGAAAAGTAATAAAACTTCCTAAAAAGTGGCTCTGTGTGTGTGTGCTGTTCATGCTGCTGACTAGACAGAAATTTACATTTACCTTATTTCTTTTCCAATGAATCCTTCAAATGAAACAACAAAATAGATTATTTGTGTGTTTCCTCTAGATCAAAACATTTATTCATCTGATGCCCTGGCTACAGATCCCTGTTGAAAAGGAATTATATTTT